GCAAGTGGTTTGGCGAGCTCCTCTGCCAGCTCCCTCAGTATCCTCGGGTGGATCCCATCTGGCTCCATAGACCTGTGGGCATCTAGGTGGAGTAGCAGGTCACTAACTGTTACCTCTTGGATTATTGGGCCTTTATTCTGCTTCTCAGCTCCATCTCCCAGCTCAGGGGGCTGAATACCCTGAGGATAAGTAGGCTGGCTATTAAAGACTGAGGCAAAGATCCATGGCAAAGATCTGACTGAGGCAGAGATCCATCCAAAGCTCCATGTTTAAGGTAATAGGCTAGAAGTCTGCACTTCTCTGTTCATGAACTGACTTATGCAAAGTTGACATTTTGCATCTGTCATCTTAAAATGCTTATTGTCTATATCTGGGTCTGAATATCAGCTCAGAGGATCTGATAATGAAACAAGCATCACAGATAACAATTTTATATCTAATTACCTTTTTTTAAAGACGAGAAATAAGGCAAGCTTTTCTATACCAGTGCAAATGCAGGTTTGAGAACCTGATTCAGGCATTCACACTTTTTTTTTTCAATGGTCTCAAGATTGCATACTTGAAAAAATGTGTTATGTGGGTCAAAGCATTTTCTGGCATGCATGTTACTGTTGCCACCACCAGTGCCACTTCTTTGTAGTTATTCATCAAAATGCTAATTCCAGAGGAGAAACTGTTCTAAAAGTAACCTACCATCTTCCCTCAATTTCAAAGCTAGCCTGTGTATTATGACAGTTCTTTTTCCATCTACATGTCAGTATTAAAAGCTATAACTGAAACCCTGCTGCATCTTAGTATTTGCTTTATTTGGATGATAAAGCCATTTTAAAGTCAGACAACAACAGTAGTGGAGAGAATTTATACTTTCATTTGGGAAACATATAGTTAATTTTCAATCTAAGTATACTTTGAAAGCCACTGCAATGTTTGCAAAATGGCTGTTGTTTCATAATAAGGCTCTCACTGTCCATTTTATGGATCATGAATGTGCATCTTTTAAGAATGTATGACTTTCTGCAAATAAAATGTAGCATATAACTTTTTCCTGTATGCTGGCAAACTCTTGTCAAAGAGGAAAACCTAGGGGCAGCATTGATGAGGATATTTTGTTTTGATGCCATGAGGGAAAAACCAGGGCAGATGAGTCAAGGAATTCCTGTTTTCTTAGTTCATTGTTACCAGCATAAGCATTTGTAACATAAGGCGGCATCCTTAACAGTGGCAGACTCCTGTGAAGTGCTGTAATGATGATTTTAGTGAAAATCAGTGAAAATTGAAGGGTTTATCCAGAATGAGTACTTCAGGGTGAAAACTGAGGTACAATTTAGGGAAAACTACAGACAGAAAAGGTAGTTTTGGAAAAGCTGGAAGAGAAACAGGCAATGAAACAGCAAAAATTATTTTAATTTATGGATAAGCAGAATTCTGTTGACATTTCTCTTTCTTTAATCAATCCATGCTAAGGAAGCTATTTTATAGCAGTATTACCAAAATTTAAGGAATACAAGCCAGTATCCTACTGAACTGATCAAGGGAATAGAGACTAGATGATTAATCTCTTCTTCTTTTAGTATGGCATTTCAGACTAAGAACGTCTAGAATGGCAGATTCCTAACAAAGATATTTCTTCATTATGAATACTTTACTACTAACAAATTTGGCTTGCAATGATGATAAATCTTAGTTTGGCTTAATGTTCTTACTTGGTGGTGGTATAATTAATTTAACACCTATTTAACAACTAGTAATGCTTTTTTTTTTTATATTCTGAAAATAGTAATTCAACTCATATTCATCAGAACCCAATCCAAAACCAGTGAAAATGAATTAGCTCTATGTGAGCTCAAGTTTAGTGATCATTTGCCAGTTTCTGATTTATTTTATGTTTAATAGACACTGGAGGCAAATGGAAAAGTTATATACAGAATAGTATTTTATATAGGAAATCATTAAAAAAAAACCCACAAAACCCCCCAAATCATCTTCCATTTTCTTTTTGTCCATCAGAAAAACAGACAAAAATTTCATTACTTTTTAAATTTTAGAGAATACATTTTCTTTTTTTTTTTTAGGGCTTAAATAGCAGATAATGCAGTGGTAGAGCTGCATACACATGCCTCACCTTTCTCAGGGAGATTTTTTTTTTCTAGCTTTATGTCTAGCTAAACAGACATGATTTCAGTTAACTAAGAATTTTACTTCTGACGAGGATTATAAATATGGAGAGTCACTTAACAATTCTGCCTCTAGTCTGGTACAGAATGTGCAAAGATTTGGGCCCAGCTAATATTTACCAGCATGGCAAATAAGGAAATCAAACTGAAAGATATATACCACACCCATTACTGCTGCTGGAAACTGGCCGGTGCATGGAAAGACAGTGAACTAAGGGCATTATTCATTCCAAAGCCTCTTGATTTGCCTGGCACATCACCTTGTCTCTTTTTGAAAATACAAACTGTTTGGCTGCAGCTCCTGCAGTGAACCCACACTTTTTATCCTCCTAAAGGGCTTATCCAACAAAAACTTTACACATCTAATATGCCATTTATGCAAAATGTAGGTAACAGAGTCCCACTCAGCAATTTTGAAAACCTCTGACCACTGGCTACCAAAGCCCAGGAGGCTCCATAAATCCTGCAGTTACCACTTTAAAGTTCCCTGGCCCCTATACATCCTGCTTTTGCAAATGTCCTTGTTCTGAAAGAAAGAAAATCTTTAGTACCTACTGTGTGTCTAAGCCCATCCACGTTCCAGTATGCAAATGTTCCCTCTGTGACAGCAATCAATGTGTTTATGCCTAGGAGAACAGGGAATTTAGTGTACAGAAGTTTTGTGTAGTTAAGTTCTCTGTGAACTGGCAGAAGGGCTCTAACAATTCCAGCATTCAGGATAACTGTTTTCCCACTAATATGAGTTTTGTGGTCATACAGTATATTAAAAACTACCTGGAATAATTATTTTTTTTCTACACCTTCAGGAAGTGCATTTGAAGAATACAAGTAGAGGGAACACAGGAAACAGAAACTACAGAATGTAAGAACATGCCATCCACAAGAATGAAGAATGAATGTGCCATCTGCAGGATACTTTGCTGTAAATAAATTATTTGTTAAACATTGGAAGACTTAAAAAAACCCTATGGTTTAATAAGCTTGATGCAATCTCAACCAATGGGCATTCTCCCAGTGAACAATGCAACTAAACATTCCAATATTAAGTCTTTAGAAAACAGAACATTTTAACCAGCCCAGAGCTAAAAAAATCTGTGGTTGATATATTACTGTTTGTTAACCTATTTTAAATGTCCTGCACAAAATCTCTTAAAGTCCTGTGCCCCTCAAAAGCCTACAAATTTATGGGCCTTTGATGGATCCAATTGCACTAAATTAACCTATGAACACTGGCTGCTGGAGTCATTCATCAGCCTTGTCTAAGTGGTGTTTTTTTTTTATTTGCACTTCTATACAAGCAACAGGCTCTTTGTTTTACAGTGTCTGTTAACATTGTTTGTCTATCCCTTCATATTTGCACAGTTTGACATTCCCAGTAACAGCAGCAGTAAGGTAACATACACAGTTTTAAACATCCATTAATTCCATCTGTGGCATTTTGACAGAATATGGGTTATAGATGCATTTGTTTTAAGACAGTTTTATTTTTCCTTCTCTTGCAAAGATGCAGTTTATTGCAATTTGTGAGACAAAAGATTTTTAAAAGCAGTTAAAGCATACATAGGCTCTCCAACCATTAATGATTCTTCCAGGTAATTATTTTGCAACAGTATAGGTAACTTCTTTCTTCCTCCATATAATGCAGTATGTAAAATTTAGCATATCAATAATACACATATATCAAACAGTATGTAAAAATCTCTGTTTTATAGTACAACGGTGCTATTTTATAGTTTGTTACATGAAAGGGTCTGGCCAAAACAGTAATAGGTAAAAGCAAATATGAAAAGATCAAGCCAAAGATTAAATAACAAAATAGTTTTAAAAATATTCAGTTTAAATGAACTAAAACGGCTTCAGATTCCAACATGGAAATAACTTTCCCATCTTTCCCAAAAGAAAATTCAGATACTTGTTTCCTTTTAGATGTTTGAATTGTGGTGTTTCCACTTACAGTAATGTGGAACACAAATTCATAGATGCCTAGGCCTGGAGAAGACAATTTGAAAAACAGCCCTCAAATGAATTCAAAGGGTAGCCCAGCAGGGCTCAAATCTTTCTGAAATATCAGCGTTCTATTCAAACATAACAGAGGGTTACTCAAGTTCTCTGCCATTTTAATTCTTCCCACAATCAGATGTGACTAAATTGACCATTAATTAGGCTGCTGCATCTCTCCGTAAATCGGAAAAGCTAATCTAATCACAAAATTAGTGTAGAAAGAGTCCTCAAGAAGAGATGAACCGTAATGCCCTGCAAACTGCTACTCACATAGCTTTTCATGCACTCTTGTAGGAGATGTATACTTCTGGATAATCTCTGCCATGTAACCTTGATAGGTACTGCACTGATTCTACCTTCAATAACACTGTGTCCTATGCTCCATTTTTGTAAATCAACTCAGTGCTAGATCAGCAATGCAGTAAAGGTGGACACATATCCAACAGTGTGCCAAGATGAGCAATAAACTTCTCTGTGAGAGAAAGGAAGAGAAGGCAGGGGAGAAGGCACTGTTCCACCCTGTCCAGAACTGCAACATGGTTCCACTCAACTTCTTTCCCCCCATCACCCTGCACGTGGTAAGATCAGACAAGGGATGAAGTAGCCCTTGATCAGCCCCAAAGAGGGGAGGGAGAATACTGTATGAAAGGAGCAATTAAGGAGATGTTAGATTAGATCTGTAAAGGAAGCATCTCTTTTTAAAGGCTCAAATCTGCCTTACTTTCTACTACATGCATGGGAGTAGATAACTGAACTATTGATTAAAACACAAGAGAAGAATCTCTGCAGACAGTATATTGTACAGCTCCTCAACAGTTTCTTGTGAAACAGATAGGAAAGATAGGTCTTAAAAGTCTAACAAATTATTATATTTCCTTTTTTATTCCCATAGAAAATTTGGGTTTCGTATTTTTTCCAAGGAAAGTGCAATGTGTTCCTATGCAAGTCTTTAAACCCTCCACTTTCTGCGAGATGCATGTTTATATGCACAACAGGCTGCCATCACAATTTAAAAGCAGAACAGTAAATGAATAAAAAGAATATGTCACAGCTGTCACTGACTGAGAGTTATGTTGAAAAAGCAAGAAAGTACAGAGAAACAGACAGAAAAACTAACCTAAATTATGTACCAGCATTTCAATAAACAGAGGTAGCAATTCTGATATCTGTCACTGCTCTTACAGGCCTTTTTTGGTGGAGGAGATGGAGAGGGAAGTATTTTTACTTCAGTGGCTGTTAGGAATTCCGAAATGCATTCTAAGAATTAGCCATTATTTTGATGCCACAGACAAAATACATATTTCCATTTCGTGTCTCATGACTCTTTCTGTCCCCTGTCTCCTCTGAAGTTCTAAGGGGAAAAGGGAGGAAAGGTGTGAGTGCAAAAAGCAATTTGCAGATCTCTGTGGTGGCAAGTTTCTTTGTAGATAACATTTTACTGATGGACTGTTAACATAACTGAATAACCATACCTCATTGTGCTATATAATTCCTGTAAATTAATTCAAATTTTGGTTTTATCTTGGGATTCATGCACTCACATTCATGGCACCATATTTCTCCTGTTGAGAAATCATAATTAGAAAATGTCATTCATAGACAGCAATATCTAACATCAGAACTTGACAACTGTCTAAACAAATTAGAACAATTCTTGAAAGAAACTACAATAAATAATGAATACCTATGAGCTTCAAAGGCAACACCTTGCTTTACTAGAGAATAAATGGTATCACAAAATGGAGAGTAGCTCCACCACAGTAGAGGTGAGAAATACATGGATGGGAAATGCATACTTGCATAAGAAATCTCCAGTCATATGGCAGGGAGCACATGATATACCAGTCAGTGTGAAAGATAAAGGGCTGCATTAGCTTAATAATCTCAATAAATCCGCTACTTAAAGAAGTTGAAGCATAAGCCAAAACATCTCCCTCCCAAAAGTACAAAGTAGTCTGACTTGAAAAACTTCTAATTAGAGAAATTGAAGGGTTCAGCTGGATTTTCAAAAGCACTCCAGATATTTAGGAACAGGGCTCCCACTGGATGCCACTGATTCTCATAAATCACTTAAGTGGTAAAGAAAATCCTGCTCCCCATCCTTCTATATCATGTAAATCACATGACAGAAGTCACAGATTTTTTGCATTCTAGAATAGACATAAAACTCCAATTATCACACAGAATGTCACTGAAGTGCAGAAGTAAAAAAGTGAATTAAGCCTCATTATTTTCAGTTAGTTCAAAAAGGACTGCGGATCTAAACCCACTGAAGTTAATATATTTTTCATCAAGGTAGCAAAATTTGAGCCTCATCTCCATAGTAACCGTAATTAATCATTAAGAGTTTAAATGGAAAATGAATAAATTCTATATTCTGCTCAAAATGTACTTATAAACCTACACTTACATTTGTGTGAAAGACTTGTATGAGGCTCATTTGTACCATTCAGTCAAGAAAGAAAAGAAAATCAAATAATGGAACACTGCATTCAGTCCCTGTAGATACATTAAAGTAGGCACCTCTTGCCCAAGACAGATTATAGTATCAAGTCCTTTTTTAAGATTAAAGGGTAAATTAGTGGTAGGCTTTCTTTGCAGAAGTGAACTCCATACGCTGCATACTACATACATAGTAGCTATGTTCAGTTGCCCCATGAGCTGATTGTTAGTATGAATGGTTAAAGTTGATTAATGAAGACTCTAGGCCAAGCACTGTGTCTTCTTGACTCTCCATTTTAACAAGCAAGTGCATGGTAAGACAAGTTCAGAAAAGTGTATGCATATTTGCTTTCCCTGTTACTGATTTGGCCAACAATGCCAAAGTGGTGCTATTGTTTTGTTTAAGAAAGTACTTGGCTAAAATATAAAAGAAAGCATAAATATTTTTTTAATGTATGAAAATGACAATTATATAGGTATGGTTTATTAAAATAGAAATACAACTAGCCGTAACTTTTCAACTTTTTGTCACTCAGCAATGGCAAAGAAATCTTAAATTGATGGAGATGGGGCAGGAATAAGAGTCAAAATGCCACAAAAATTCATAGACTTGAAATGCAGTTCTGAGTCTTTACTCCAAGTCAGAAATACAGATGAAGAAAAACCTTTAAAATCAGGGAACAATGGATATGACTGAAAGCCTGTTCAGATTAATGCGAGTCCTATATCATACCAAAGATTTTTAAGCCACACTCTAGCCTGAAGTCAGTGTAGAGTTTGGCTTCAAGTCAGTGGCATGATATGATCGAGAATTTCATTGAGCACAAGGTTTTATTTTTATCTGATTATCTCCTCACTCATGGCTTGCCCCCCAAAAGTCAATATTCTTTAAAAAAAATAACACAAAGAAATGCATCTGATTTTAGCAAGGAATGAAAAAAAAATATTCCTAACATGAAACTGATGTTATTTTTAATTCTCACCAGTTTCAAATTGTGAGAAAAAGTTGAAATATATGGCTAACTGTCTGTGAATTTTTTTTTTAACTTTATGTGATCACTATGAACATCCTAATGTGCAAAATTTCACATTTCATTGTTTTGTTTTGAAATGATGGTAAGTTAAGCCCAAATAGAGATTCTTGGAACCTATAGGCTAGATAGAATACTTATGTTCTGATGAAGGTATAATCAATATATTTAAAATGTTTTATTTTGAGTCTGAAAAGGAATAGTAATAATTTATTTGGGGACTCAACCTATACTGGTCCCTCTTTTAAGGATACTGTTAAGTGCAAAGAAGTCTTCCAAATGCCAAACTTCTATTCAAAACCAACATTCATTCCTCCCTCCCCCTCCCTCCAGCAAAACTAGTTAAAACACTATTGCAACATGATTTTATTGTTTGTCTGTTTGTTTTTTGGGGGTTGTTTTGTTTTGATTCACTACTTTGTTTTGATTTGGGGGACAGGGGTAAGGAGGAGGAGATGAGGCTTTCAAGTGATTATGATTTTTTCCTCTCGGGTACAATCCACAAAAAATAAAGAATTTGCCTTGATGAGATTATTAATTATCCAATTCATGTGTGGAAGTAGCATTAAGTAAATCAACTAGATTAAAGTTGTCTTGAAAGAAGGTAAAAATCTTATTAACACAGTTTTTAGTCATTCCAATCTTACACTGTACATTTTACTTCTCACAACATTGGAATATTCTACTGGACTACAACTGTCCTAACACACAGTATCTGACATATATAAATTTTCTTTGATTTTTTACATGAAG